TGAGCACGGAGGCGTCTAACAAATGGCAAACTCGTGGCGCGATTCTAACTCACGACCTCTCTCCCGCACAGCAAAAAGAAAGAAAAAAAACCTCAATCCGCTGAGCTGTTCTTGAGGATAACAAAAGGGAATATTTTTTTAGCCTGTGTACCACTCGGGGCAAAGGGGTTACTATTGAATACCTATTATGGTCTGTCACACACACAAGAAATAAGGATCCTCCTTTTAGTTTAACACGTAGGCTTTGGCGACTATTATTGATCCTCCTTTTAGCCTGATCCAACGGGATACTGAGCGACAGACAGGGCTGCGTCCATCCGTCTTTGTCTCCCCCAGTGCTGATCTTAATCACTCCACCAGAAGCGCTTTGTGTTGTTGTTGTAGTTGTTGAACGCCACGTCAAACCTCATCAAAGGGGGCCCAACAGCTGTGCAGACTGCCATGCTGCCCCAACGCACGCGCACGCGCACGCACGCTCGCTCGTCAATGCGTTCCGACAACACATGTCCCGTGTCTGTGCAGCGGGAATCAGATAACCCCCTTCAGTGGCTTTGGAGCTTTAGGGCTTCAACCAGCACGACGTAGAGCACAGCACAATGTGCGATACGCAGTGGCACTAAACAGCCGCTGCTGCTATTGAAGCTCAATGTATTCATAACTGCATGTGCTGAACAAAAACAATCACTCGTTCTCTATTTATGGACGACGGGGAAAATACATTTTTTTTTGGCAAAGACCGTAAGTTTGTGTGTTTTTTTGTAACGATACCAACTTTCAAGTGGTTACACAATGAGAGAGAGAGAAAGCTTTAATTTTTTTCAATCGCGATGAAAACGGCGCGCTATGATTGATATATTTACATCAATGGAACACCAGTTAGACCCCCTCCCCCACCGTGGTGCTGTTATAAATGTGCAGTGTCACCCTGAAATACAAAATTACGCGTTTACACACACACGCACGCACGGTAGCTAGCTTTATTTTATAGTTAGCGAGCATCACCTGCTCCTGATAGTGCTGGTGCAGTTGATTCCTGACTCAGAATGGACAGGTAACGAATAAATATTGAATTTTGATTTAAAGCTTTCGTGACTGCAGGGATTCATATATATTTTTATTATTTCATTGTTTCCCTTCTAGGTGACTTTACCGAAAGAACCAAGAATATGAATAAATATTGGTTTGGTTTATTTTGATAGTGGGGGTAAATTGTCCCAGTCACTACTGGCTCAGGGCCTCTGCTCATTTTAACCAGCTCAGGTTTACAACTGTTTGTTCTGCGGCACATTCCACCGCGGGAGAATCGTTATTTTTCACCCGCTTAGCACAAAACTATTATGACCCCCGGGTTCAATGCTACGTACCCCACTCACTGCGGGGACCTCTGTGGGTAACGTCGGACAAGTGAAACTGCGACGTCTCTTTTTGTTTTACAAGTCTGCCCCGATCATCGTTCGGTACTTTAGCGCATTTATCCACGTGTAAGAAGAGCAGCTCGCGCCTTGGTTTTGTGTGGTAGCCTGCTTGTGGTGGAGCTGTAATTTTCACGATTATTTGCTGCTGGTGCTGCGCTCGTAGTGGGGCACAAGCTCAAAGAACAACGACAACTACAACAACAAAGTCAATAAATTCGTCAACGACGCTGTCTCCTTAAACAATAAAATACACGCGCGACGTTTCGGACAATGGCCTTTATACGCAGCACACAGGGAGGCCACAAAAGTAGAGTCAAAACGTCTTTGACATTAAAAAAAGACACCTCTCGTTGAAAAGTGTTGTCTGCTGTCCAGCTCAGGTCACGAATAATTCTGAGTTTGGGAGTAGTATTCATCCTTTTAGGTGGAGCAGCGATGCAGCGGTTCACACATCGCGCGATGAAAGCCAGCCACCCGAGTTTGATTCCTGACCACAGCCACCATGAGCGGCGAGTGATACCTGAACCCGTTCCCTGCCACTCCTTTCACCAACCCGCACTGATCGGCGTGTTGGAGTTTGTTCAAACAATCCTCCAGGACCGACACGGCAAAGGGAGGCCTTCACCCTGAAATGGATTATTGGACTCGTCCCCGTTATTCCTTTTTGTTCGTAAGTTACGCGCCAAACGACAAACTTATTTCAACAGACCATTGGCTAAACAGTGACGAACACCTTCGCCAGTTCGGTCTGCCCGTGTTGCAAGATGTACAGTGTCACATCCAGTTCTTGACAGTAACTCTGGTTGGTAATGCAGCGCTTCTGAGGCAAGGTGGGTGGGTCTTGTACAATTCGTTATCTGCACATGTGGAAGGCGGTGGTAGCAAGCTAGCTGCTTATCAATCTGTGTAAAATTTAAATAAAGCAATCCAGAGATCCACATGGACCGTACTACATTCATGCTCCGGTTTGTTTGTTGTTTTCTGCCATACGTAGAATCGTACAGTGAGGGAAAAAAAGTATTTGATCTCCTGCTGATTTTGTACGTTTGCCCATTGACAAAGAAATGATGAGTCTATAATTTTAATGGTAGGTGTATTTGAACAGTGAGAGACAGAATAACAACAAAATCCAGAAAAACGCATGTCAAAAATGTTATAAATTGATTTGCATTTTAATGAGGGAAATAAGTATCTGACCCCCTCTCAATCAGAAAGATTTCTGGCTCCCAGATGTCTTTTATACAGGTAACAAGCTGAGATTAGGAGCACACTCTTAAAGGGAGTGCTCCTAATCTCAGCTTGTTACCTGTATAAAAGGCACCTGTCCACAGAAGCAATCAATCAATCAGATTCCAAACTCTTCACCATGGCCAAGACCAAAGAGCTCTCCAAGGATCTCAGGGACAAGATTGTAGACCTACACAAGGCTGGAATGGGCTTCAAGACCATTGCCAAGCAGCTTGGTGAGAAGGTGACAACAGTTGGTGCGATTATTCGCAAATGGAAGAAACACAAAAGAACTGTCAATCTCCCTCGGCCTGGGGCTCCATGCAAGATCTCACCTCGTGGAGTTGCAATGATCATGAGAATGGTGAGGAATCAGCCCAGAACTACACGGGAGGATCTTGTCAATGATCTCAAGGCAGCTGGGACCATAGTCACCAAGAAAACAATTGGTAACACACTACACCGTGAAGGACTGAAATCCTGCAGCGCCCACAAGGTCCCCCTGCTCAAGAAAGCACATATACATGCCCGTCTGAAGTTTGCCAATGAACATCTGAATGATTCAGAGGACAACTGGGTGAAGTGTTGTGGTCGGATGAGACCAAAATGGAGCTCTTTGGCATCAACTCAACTCGCCGTGTTTGGAGGAGGAGGAATGCTGCCTATGACCACAAGAATACCATCCCCACCGTCAAACATGGAGGTGGAAACATGCTTTGGGGGTGTTTTTCTGCTAAGGGGACAGGACAACTTTACCGCATCAAAGGGACGATGGACGGGGCCATGTTCCGTCAAATCTTGGGTGAAAACCTCCTTCCCTCAGCCAGGGCATTGAAAATGGGTCGTGGATGGGTATTCCAGCATGACAATGACCCAAAACACACGGCCAAGGCAACAAAGGAGTGGCTCAAGAAGAAGCACATTAAGGTCCTGGAGTGGCCTAGCTAGTCTCCAGACCTTAATCCCATAGAAAATATGTGGAGGGAGCTGAAGGTTCGAGTTGCCAAACGTCAGCCTCGAAACCTTAATGACTTGGAGAAGATCTGCAAAGAGGAGTGGGACAAAATCCCTCCTGAGATGTGTGCAAACCTGGTGGCCAACTACAAGAAACGTCTGACCTCTGTGAATACCAACAAGGGTTTTGCCACCAAGTACTAAGTCATGTTTTGCAGAGGGGTCAAATACTTATTTCCCTCATTATAATGCAAATCAATTGATAACATTTTTGACATGCGTTTTTCTGTATTTGTTTGTTGTTATTCTGTCTCTCACTGTTCAAATAAACCTACCATTAAAATTATAGACTGATCATTTCTTTGTCAGTGGGCAAACGTACAATATCAGCAGGGGATCAAATACTTTTTCCCTCATTACAAAGAGCCATTGACCGCACAGCCTGGGCAGGACCCTGGTTAGACTCAGTTGAGTAGTATTTGCGGAATGGACATATAATTCTCATTTAAGAGCAGTTTCATCTCAGTATATTTTAATGTAGGGATTACATAATGTAATTGTTTATATATATAGTGCACGTAGCATCACTCGACAGCATTCCTATGCTGTGTGGACATGTACCCGATTATCTTGAACGGCAAAACAGCATCGAACAAACAATCGATGTAAACTCGCACGAATGGCATCGCTCTGAACGTGCGTGAACACTCAGCATCACCTGTTCTCCGTGAATGTCACCACCTCCCCGTGCCAAGTCCACCCTTGTAGGTCAGCTATCCACGATGCCCTGCTATTCCACTCCTATACCAAGCCTACTCCCCCTGTGCCAAACCCCCTCTGTGCCTTATCGACCGACGTGCTATACCTACCGAGACGTTCCTTAATTAATAATGTCACGAAGCAGTTATTAAAGAGCCACATGTTGCCGACTCCTGCCCATGGTAAACTGGACTCTCATGGTAAACTGGACTTCTACCATGGTAAACTGGACTCATATAGCAAACAGGACTTCCGTGGTAAGCTGGACTCCCATGGTCAGCGGTCAGCAGCCAAAATAACAAGAAGTGCCATTTTTGTCGAATTCGGTAAAACAAAAAAACAACCCCCTCCATATCTCAAAAGCCGCAATGTAGTACTTAAAGAGTCGCATGTGGCTCTTGAGCCCGAAGGTTGTCGATCCCTGAGCTTAACCCAAAGCTCATGTGGCAAATCTCCACCCCACCACCTCGCTCCCCTGCCTGGACTAACCCCGCCTAACCCTCCACTATGCTAAACAATTATCCCCCCGCCACCACCACCAGCCCTGTTGGCCCCTCCTCCACCCCCCCCCCCCCCGCATTATTCGCTGGGTCAGGGCTTGACCTACGAGTGACAGGCGGGTTGAGTCTTTTATTAATTGCGGCATCGGAATTTTCGGCAGCAGAGGCGCGGCAGCGCAGCGGATCGCAGGGCACCTGTTTGTGAGCGAGTGAGTGAGACGGACACGCACGCACGCGCATGGATTAGACAGCTCTACGGAGCACATTGCGGAGAGCGGGATCTCTCAGTGCCGTTAACACGTTGACAATAAACACCGGTGCGTGTGCGCGTGCGTGCGCGTGTGTGTGTGCGCGTGTGTGTATGTGCGTGCGTGTGTGTGCGTGCGTGTGTGTGTGTGCGCGTGTGTGTGTGTGCGCGTGTGTGCGTGCGTGTGTGCGTGCGTGCGCGTGTATGTGTGCGCGTGTGTGCGTGTATGTGTGTGCGTGTGTGTGTGCGCGTGCGCGTGTGTGCGTGTGTGTGCGTGTGTGTGTGTGCGTGTGTGCGCGTGTGTGCGCGTGTGTGCGTGTGTGTGTGCGCGCGTGTGTGCGTGCGTGTGTGTGTGTGTGCGCGTGTGTGCGCGTGTGCGCGCGTGTGTGCGTGCGTGTGTGTGTGCGCGCGCGTCTACGTGAGTGAGAGAGAGATATTTTTTTTATTTGCTAGTGGGCGACCTGCCTGACTCTCTGGCTCCCTTTTGTGGTTTATTATTTTTGTGTTGTTGTTGTCGTCGTCCACAGCCAGGGATTGAGGACTGAGCAATGGAGCAGGGCTGGCTGTCAGAGGAGGAGATCGAAGCGTTGCAAGACATCTGGGAGAAGGTGTTCAAAAGCGCCGAGGATGTCGGAGTCATCCTCCTCGTGAGGTGAGCAGTGGCGAAACGCAGCGCACGTGCGCAGGCGGGGATCGTCTCTCTCTCTCTGTCTCTCTCTCTCTGTCTGTCTCTCTCTGTCTGTCTGTCTCTCTCTCTCTCCATCTCACCCATCGCCGCGCAGGCGTTTTGTAGACTTTTTGTCGTTGTTGTGGTGCGGAGCGAACAAGAAGTGCACGCGCGAGCTATGCCCGTTGCGCGTAATCTTAAAGACACACACTGTACCGAACGATTGCCGATATAAGCCGTGGGGGGGGGGGGGGGGGTGATAAAAAGCTTAAGCCGGGAGACGGGGCTCGCTCAAAATCCTTCTGATTGACTATCATCAAGTTATCGCCGGCGTGTGTCTGTGTGTGTGTATGGGAAGCGGTGGTGGGCTACCAACCTGGCGACCCGGGTTCGATTCCCGCTCACGGCCAACACCGCCGACGATTATCTGTGTAAATATCACCACTGGGGAGACAAAGGCGGTCGAGCGTGGTGCTGGTCAACCCACACGCGCTCGTGGGTCGTGTCGGCCCAACAGTCTGCTAAGGCTACACGGTGGGATCTTTGCCTTTGTGTGTGCTGTGATTGCATGCGTTGTGTAAGCTGCAAACGTATTTGACACTTCATTGCACGCGCATTGTAGTGTGTGTGTATACAAAGATGCATCGCATGTTGTACTTCGCGTGCTGCAGCATTCCCTGTAAGTGCATCGTGTAAAATAATGCATACATGGTGACGATACAAGTCACTGGGTAACTGATGCACATTCTGTAACGGTGTTCGAGAAGGGCTAGAAAGCTGAAACGTGATTGTAAACTGTAAGAAGTGAGGTACAATGAAGTATTGACTCCATCCAGTTATGTGTAGTTAATCTGCTACGTACCAGAGTGGAGCAATATAGGGTTTATTTATTTAATAGAACATCAAAAAGTGTGTTCTATATCTTGATTTGACTGCAGAAATCCATACTTTGGTAAAGTCATCACGTAGGTGTTCTATATCTTTCCCAAACGACTGGCCTCCATGAAATTCAGTGTTTATAGGAATGTAGAGCTAAACTCAATTTCTTTCCATCGAGTAGCAACATTTTCGCTAAGCGTTATTCACGTGCTTAAACTAACCCGTACGCTGTCACTAACTACACTAGAGCCATTCAACTAAAAATTTACCCTTTTTGGGTGTGTTTAAACATATACCGGAATACGGCGACGTTTTGTTTTGCTTAAACATTAAAGAAACCGTGACTATTCAAAACCAGACGCCGAAGGGAAACAATTTCAATAACTGTAATGAAACGTCATCGCGCATTTATTTTATTTTATTTTTCGCAGACACTTCTGAAGCTAGCTGAGTGTGCATATCGATCTGTGAGCTTATCATCAATAGATCGGGCCCCATGTTTAGTGCGAATTTAAATGCAAATATTCAAGTGCAGTCTTTCTTTTGCGAAGGCATACTTGTAATAAAGCACACTGCACGACTGTTCTCATTATTAGTTGTGGTTGTTCTAAGAAAAAAAACTGGCTTCCGACAGGAATGTGGATTTTCCATGTCATATCTCAGGGGCCAACAATTGAGACAGAAAACGGCGTATAATACGTACAAATTATTTATAACCCTTTGTAAATCCACTGCTGAACAAAGGACTCCCCCCATGCTGTGTCGGTCCTATGGGTTTGCTTGAACATACTTCACCACGCTGGTCAGTGCGGCGGTCGTCCAACATCTGTTGAGATATCACTCGCTAGTTATGATCGCCATGGCCGGGAATCAAACTCAGGTATCCGGGTTCCACCATGCTACGACTTCCAAACTCGGGAAGACAATACGACTCAGCTTATAACGAATGCAAGCAACTACGTTCAAAATATCCCCTCTTTTACGTGATGGGCCACTTGAAGCCTTGATAAAAATGTGAATGTTTCGTGACATTATTGGGCACATGGAGGATGACGAGTAAACACTGAGTCCCTGGAAAATCTGCCCTGAGCCAGAACGCATGACGGCCCTTCTAAGGAGGCATTTGCCTTCAAAAGGGAAACAACAACTGAAACAACAAGACCACTCAGCGGGTCTCCAAAGAGATCACACTGAGCTCAATGAAGACACCAGTGACGAAGTTTCCATGCCCCCCCCCCACACACCTCCCTCCATATGCTTATTCCCCCCCCCCCCAAGGTATGCCACTTACTTCCCTTGGGTGCTCTCATTTAAACGTCCCCCACACCAAGCCTCTGAAAGATCCAGAGCCCACAATAAGGACACCGGCTCTGTTCCCACGAAGTGGATCCAGAACGTTATTTAGTTTTTAGGGAAATCAAAAAAGAGTTGTCCCCTTCTCAAACGATGTCCGCGGCGGTGGCTGTTCATCTCAGTCGGTGTTCTTGAGCGAGTGGTGTACATTCCGCATACTTTGGTTGGGAGCCAGCCTTCCTCTTTTGTAAGGCAGGGGGTTAATCATTAATAGTTTCCCCCTCGCACCTCCGATCAGCGCGGTTGGCTACGTAGGCTGCGAAAGAAGTCCAACGTACATAGTTTGTGTGTGTTCGTGGCCGATCATGTTGGTGAGCCAGTGGATAGCTTCCGTAGTTGATGGTGAATATCTCAAATGCTGCCGGGAAATTAAACTGAGACGGCAGTGGCCTGCTATGTGGCCTGATATGCGGCATGCTATGTGGCATGCTATGTGGCATGCGATGTGGCCTGCTATGTGGCCTGCTATGTGGCCTGCTATGTGACATGCTATGTGGCCTGCTATGTGCCATGCTATGTGGCCTGCTATGTGGCATGCTATGTGGCCTGCTATGTGGCATGCTATGTGGCATGCTATGTGGCCCGCTATGTGGCATGCTATGTGATTTGTGGCGTGACCTTGGTATCCTCGGGCGTAATGTGGATAGTTTACTTTTTTCATCGGTGTAAGAATCCGCTTTTTTGCCGTGTGATGTTCTAATGTGGTGCAGCACAAACCATTTCTTGCCAAACAATTCTCAAACCAGGAGGATCTTCTGTGGGGGTTTGGTGATTAAGCGTTCGTCCAGGGACGTTGGTGTTGTCTCAGGTTGCTCCGCACTGCACCTCAGGATTTGAGAGCTGTACGCTCGATCCCAGAGCATGGGCTGCAGGACTTTATTCTAGACTGTTTGGAGGTTCTAAAGGTTCTCTGCAATCGGTATAGGTTCGGTTGGCCATCGTTTTTCTCTTCTTGCGTATTGACGGCGATATGCTCTGGAGCCTAATGCCAATGTTGAGGTCTGCTAGCCACGAAAGGGCTTCAGGAGAGTGTCCGTGTAGCCTTGCTGCTATTCCTTCATTGACGAAGCGCAGACCACAGTGGTTCAGTACATGGTTCATGGTGCGGGTGCAGACGCGAGATGTGTGCATGTCTCTTAAAGTCGAGTTAGGCGGGAGACAATTGACAGCCGGGTCGAGATTTGTTGATTGAAGTGTCCCCCGTTATGATGCATACGCAGCATCGCTTTGCTTATCAGCAACCCTGCTGTGGACGCTGCTGGAGCAGACAGGAATGCACTCTTGTTCAGGCTAGTTTGACATTCCTTGGGTGCCTTTTCCACGCGCACTTCAAAGGTTAACCCCCCTCAGTTTAAGGTCACGTGGCAGGTATGTTGGATTGTGCTCATGTTTAACCATGTTGACCATAAGAGGAGGCATTGAGCGGATACAATATTCCTTCCATCGCCTTTTGGGTCAGTGATGAGGACAATGCCGATCGCGGTGAGACCCATGCCTAAGACACGATGTTGGCGACGTATATTATTAGCATTCTGGAAAACCGCGTCCAGCATATCGTTCGTGCAGAAGTTGAAAAGTTGACAAGTGACGGTGCCAGCATAGAACCTTGTGGTGGGCCATCGATTGAGAGTCCCTGTTCTGTGAACGTGACCATTCATGCGGGTCAGGTATCTGCGATCACTCCACATTCGATGCTAAGGAGTCGCGTGGTGTAGCAGCACTTGGTGATCCTGGAAAGCTTGAGCAGCAAGGCCATATCTCCACACGTTCCGTATCGCAGGCCCAGGAGACGTTGACCAGTGCCGGGCCTGCTTCTGCTGGAAACGGCAAGGACCTGATCGAAGCAAATGTGGCCCCGTCTGAAGCCAGCCCATTCTTTTTTCAAGGATGCCTTCCTTTCCATGATTTCCTACAATGTGGTACTCATTTTACCTACCCCCGAGAGCGATTTGATCTAAAAAAAAAACACTCGATGGCCCAATCCAGCGAGATTGTAACCCATCTTTATTATTGCTGATTGCTCAACTCAGCCTTTCATCCCCCCCGGGGCCAATAAGATAAGTACCGCCATGTTTGTTCATCATGCGCGGAGTTTGGGGGGTGGGGGGGGGCACCGGGGGGTTGGGGGGGGCAATACCCCTCCAAAACCGAACACCTTTATAAATATATTTTTAAAAGTTTACAATAAAGATTCAATAATTAATTACTGACAGTATATGCACCCACAATTCTTAAATGTGAGTAACAAAGTGAACCCTTGCTCCCCCCCTCCCCAAATATCGAAGCCAAACTCTGCCTATGATGCTGATCCAGAATGTGCACAGCAGCACGTAACATTCTGGTTCAAACTACCTTGAGAATCATTTTTTTCCAACAATTTATTTTTACCGTCGTATGTCAACCAACCAAGGACACTCATTGACACCGCATTGCACAGAGGAAGCTCTTCCACTGCGGTTGCTTTGGTTTCTCGGTCCCAAGAGGCACTCAGGGATAAGATAATCAAGTAAAATAAGTAAATCACTGGGACGGAAGGTTTTGTGTTTGCTGAGGCTCGAGCAGATGCCTGCCTCGTTGTTCCCAAGGGGTAGCCAATTGGTAAACAAAAGTTGACTGGTGGTAGATACGGCTGGGTTGCATTTGCGCAATGGTCAGTCGGTGTGGTGTTTCTCTGGATATTTACGTTTCCTTCAACACGCAAAATGCTCATTAAGGAATCGGCTAAATATCAAAATGCAGGAACCTCCTGATAA